TCACGGTTATTCATTCCGTCGACGACTAACCATTATTTTCGTCACAGACAAATGGAACGATGAAACTGAAATAATTATGTAAACTTTGTCGTTAAATTGAAATATAACTAAAATTGAGTGACTAATTTGAAACAAATCTGTTACTTTATCAACCACAAGATAATTTATTTCCTTTAAATGGCTCAAATTAAGCATCTGTTTGTTTCTTTTTTCTAAAAAAAATACTTTTTAACCCCAAATGGCCAAATTCACTATTTTTCCAGAAAAACGGCCAGAGGGCTCATTAGATACGCATGCTGCACGGTCCTTTATAATTTGGAATCAAATGATGAGTAACAGAATGATGATTATGGCGTCAAGGGACGGCGGTGGCGGAGGAGGCGTGGGAGGGAGGAGATCGCAGCCATCAACAACTTCGGTGTCGGCGTATTTGAGTTGTGTTGGAATTTGGTTTAAAGATTGAAAATTTTGAAGTATAAAATATGGAAAGTGACTTTGTGTCAATTTCAGCCATATATTCGGATTTGATGGGATAGTCAAATTATAAATGTAAATAGAGTAACTTGTTCTACTAGTAGATCATCTTGTATATTTGGAACTTAAAAATATCTTGTATATTTGGAATTTAAAAATCAATTCCTGATGAATGAGAAATTGCAATCCAACGTTGGAAAGAAAAGAGGAAAAATTGGCAGGTAAATTTGCCTAACTTTTATTTTAGAAGTTATCCAATCTTCACCTATTGAGAAACTATTTATTTTGGAAGTTACACATTTACTTATAAGCAATCTTTTAAGTTTGGCCGAAAATGCTGTAGTACCTTCATACCCTGTGCTTGAAAGGTTATACACTGAAATGTAATACTAGTACATGTGCTGCAAAGGTTTTCACCATGCAATGCCTAGACGATTATTGAGCGAAATTATGAAGTTCTGTCTATGTTGTAGGAGATCAGATTATGTTTTTCCTTTCGTTTTGAGGATGTTAGTTTGAAATTATGAATCTTTCCACTCTTTGTTATTTCGGTTGAAATTCTTCCTTCTGATATGTGCACAGTGGCTTGAGAATAAAATTAGAAACTTGATTCAATTGTTTAAAAACAAAAAGATCTCCACCTGATTTCCTTATATTCTTGAAGCTCCAGGTGGCTGCAATAGGATTTTGTGAATTATGCGCGTTCCATTTCCAGCCCTTTCATATGCACAGCTTGTTTAGTTGCTTTGACTGTTAATTGTCCATACATAAATGAATATGAATACGCAAAAGTTTCAAGAATTAGCATTTTGATTAGTAGGCAAGTATTATGGAACTGAACAATTTTTTCATTTTATCTATTTTTTCAGGGACGCCATATGAAGGAGGCATATTTTTTCTCAATATAACATTTTCTAGTGATTATCCGTTTAAACCTCCCAAGGTAATGCTACATAACACTCGGATCACTGACGATCACCAAGTAGTCTATTCATGATATTTGTCCTTGAACAACAGGATTTCCTATATCTTGCTTAATTTTTATTTTGGAATAATGTAGTCTATGGATTATGATTGGTGGATGGCCCTTTTCCTTAATTAGATAACTTAAGATTTTGATATTTTTTAATACATTCTGGGCTAAAATCAAAAGGTTCATCTAGCAAGTGTTAACATTTCACTCTTAGAGGGCCTTGGGCTTTTAGCATGTGGCCAGTTCCACCTAGACATACCTTTGCAATTCTATCCATAAGAAGGATAAGTAAATCCAGTTGTATGTCAACTAGGAAGTTCTGAATTACAGTGTTTGGTTTGAATTGCATTTACTTAGATTGTAATGTAAGTTCTATTGAATGCGACTAATATTTGTGAAATACAAAATTTTCAAGTTTTTGAATTACAATCGAGTTTATTGGAGTTCTCATACCAGAATATTTTTCAAAAGTATTCCTGAGGATTAACTTTGGGGTATAAAAAATGGTTACCTCTCTTGGTCTCAATCCTCAAGTCATTATGATTCTCCCATACACCTCACCTTTTTCTTTCGTCCTCTGTATAATGTTCATTGTTCTCCCTCCTTTTAATATTGACTTTTGACCCCAGGCTTGCAGGTAGTATTTAAGCCTTTGTTTGGAGCCGATTTTTTAGGTCAGAAAAATTCATTTTTGACCGTTATCTTTCCAAATGGGTTCCAACCGTGAGAGACAAAGTCAACAAAAATGACTTAGACAGGTGACCAACGGTACAAAAATTCATCTTTTTCCCCTTAAAATCGGCTCCAAACAGGGGCCAAGGGCAATGTTAGTTTGGATATCCTGAAAGATGGCTGGAGCCCTGCTCTGTCAATCTCAAAAGTGCTACTTTCACTCAGATCAATATTTACGAACCCTGCACCTTGTAAGTACTTTTAACCTTGGCACATTTCTGTTTGAACTGAAGAAAAATATAATGAAGTGGCTCTCCTCTCTCTTTTCCTGGGTATGTGTGCAGTTTTTGGGACCCTTGTGTACTTTTACAACAAACTTCTTATACAAGGAAACAACACTGTGCTTCTCGACTTTCTGCACCAATATTGGTTGATTTCGTAATGAATTGGATGTCATCTAACAAATTTCATATATCCTTCACATAGACCTTTTTCTTGATTCTTCCTTCTATGGTTTCCTCCAGGCATGCATCCTTGATCTTATTTGATTGAGAAAACAGCAGCAGAGTTCCCTTGACCTTCAAAATGGATCATTTTAGTCCCCAACCTTTCACTTTTATAGCACCCTTAGTCCCAAAGGACATCTGCCATCAAAAAGGTTAAAATACAATATAGATTGCTTGGTCGAGATGGTTATCTCATTTCTGGGAATGAAATTCTCGTTCTTATCTTTGCATGCTTCTGGCATCCAAAAGAGGCCTAAATGTTTCACTGGCCTGATGATTTCCTACTTTAATGACCAATGAAAAGGAGGCAATGAAGGCAGTTTTAATTTTTTATTTGTAGTTTTAGCTGCTGCAGATAAATCCCTCTTTCCGGGTATTGCCCACATGTACTTAGCAGACGGAGTGAAGCATGCACACGAACTAGCAGCAGAGTGGATTCTACGATTTGCAAGGTAGAAGTCATGATGTTGATTGAGGATATACTAGTGCTGTAAGTGGAAAATCAATGGTAAACCCAGTAAACCTATCGCCTAATTGTGGTGTTTCCATATCTCGATGTTCTCTTTAGGTTAATATATCGTGTTTATGACTTGTATTGTAGATCATCTGGATCAATATAGGTTACTGTATTATGAAATTTAGTACTTGGATACTTTTAATGTCCTTCCTATGAAACCTAATGTAGTCACAGCACAATGTTTTTGTCCATCTTGTGGCCCAATCAGCCATAGACTTTCTTTACTTGTTAGTTGTCACCTCTTCGATGGTGTTTAGATAAGCAAAGTGTAAGACAGGGTAATACGGTTTGATAAAGATCCACCCAAAGGGGGGGAAAAACGAAAAAAGACAACCGACGCACACATCTAACCACCACCAAACCTATCCATGTGGAACATTACATTCTTACTCTTTAAGAGAAACATAAAACACAAACAAAAATCTCAAACTTTAGCACCAATCAAAGCTTGAGCTAAGTTCTAGATTTAGCTTACACACCACGAGTCGGGGACTCCTTTTATTCACTTTGATTCTCCTTATTCTTTCCGTTGCAGAAGAGGTTATATTATTCTATTACCTTTATTGCACTTTTGCAAAATCAACAGTTTCCTTGCCATCGTGGGGTTTCTTGAAAAAGTGCCTGACATACTCCGAATATAGAAGCTGTTTGTATGTTGGTTTTTCCCCATTCTGTAAAACTTCTGGCAGAGGACCAATGACATCACTAGGTTTAGGGTTCACAAAGATTGGCACCGAAACCCTATTATTGTTCCCATTAGCAATCACACGGTGCTCAATGCTCTTGTATCGGCCGTTGCTCAGAATTTGAAGTGCATCACCAACGTTGATTACGAGAGATCCATCGATTGGTGGGACATGTATCCAATAATCAGAGTCTAGTTTTCTAACATAAAGCCCTCCAATTTCATCTTGTAGGAGAATGGTTAGTGTTGAAACATCTGAGTGGCGCCCTACACCAATTGTGAGATCAGGATTTGGACATTTGGGATAGTAGTTAAGGTTAATCCTCGTCGAACCCATTAGAAGAGATTTCTTGGTTTCATCAATACTTGTTATGTTCAATCTTTTCATTAGAATCTCCAACAGTTTCTTGATAACATGTTCAGACTTTTTCCTGTATTCCAGTGCTTCATCCCTGCAGATAAATGTTGGTTAAGTAATTTTTCTTTGGGAGATAGAAACTGAAGATGACATATGAAGCCTACTATGCTACTGTTATTGTGTAACCTGCATGATGACATACACATATACAAATATTCGTATTAGATAATAATGCCGTAAAAGTTCATACTGTAACCTGCATATAGAAGGCCAAAATGCTGAAGCCTCTTTATCAGAAACATAGAAGAGGCTAAGCCAATCTTTCCACTCCAAAGCCTTCTCTGCTTGAGGAGAAAAGCTAGTCCCATAGCGTACATTGTTGGTAGGAGATTCCTCTTTCGAATACTTCTTCTTCTCCTGAGCTGGTAATCCATAGAACTTATGAGTTGCATTCTTCACATTGTCCAGCACTGTCAATGGTATCCCATGATTGATAATCTGGAAGAAACCCCATTTCTCTGCTGCATTGCATATCATATCTGCCACCACTTGATCATTCGGGTTCGACATGTCAATGACAGGAATGGACTCCTCAGTTAGTATAGTGTTGGTAGAGATCTGTTCTCGAGGAGGTTGAATATATTGCTTAGGTAATGTTTGAAGGCCTATGTCAGAAAGACCCTTAACTCCATGACCTTCATCTACTACAAAAATTTTTATATTCCTCGAATCGGATAGAATTGTTGAGAGTGCTGGAGCCATAAGTGTTACTGAGAATAAGATTAATCAGAATTTGAAATAAGTTGATTTGGTTGATTATGTTGAGTGCCATGAAGGGCTATATATACACACCTTTATTTTTTAAGAATATAATTAAATATTTCTCAGTTAATTAGATTGCTTGCAATTTTCATGCCTTATTGTTATTCAAGCTCGTTTGCACATGCAGTAATGGATATGGGGGGTTGGTGACGGTAAAGAGTTCAACATGTGTTAACCCTCTAAATGAAGTTTGCGAACCTAATTAGCTATTGGCGAAGTGAAAAGCGACGCGCGAGCTAAACGAAGAAATAGAAGGCTCGTCTATAGATTACGAACCATTTTTCGTATCCAATCTAGCTATAGGCTGTCAATAAAGGACACGTGAGCAAATGAATAAAGCGTGATTCTCAATCGAATTTGTTAGAAGATAACAAATAAGGATCTGCCATATCTCATTCTTCCAAAAAGATCAAACTACGCCAAGGTTTGAAGGAAAAGTTATAAATATCCTCTCATTTGAAGAAGAAACACACGCAATTCAAATATCTTTCCATCAAATAACTATTTCTCTTTTTGCTTTTATCTGAGTATCAAAACTAGCGAGTTTAGAAAGTAAAAATCATAGTTATGTGTTGATCATATTTGTGTCAACAAAATGTGCTTTGGTACGGGCATTCATCACGGTATCAGGGCACATACAAATGTTGTCATTATCAATAAAAATTGTTTAATCTCTTAATTCTACAAATGGTTTATGACAACGCAAGAATTATATCAAATCAACCTATGTGCATGAAAGGTGCCAAATAATTAGGTTTCAACCCATCTTCACTATATATATATATATATA